AAATATAAAAAAAATAAAATAAAAAGTGGAAATAGCGCTTAAATAAATTATATATCATTTTCATGTAATGTTTGTAGTTCTCAAGGTTCGTAAAACGGAACCGGTTCAATGGTTCACTGGTTGAACCAGTGGCCGAACGGTCAGACCGATTTAATTAATATATAATTTTTATTTATTATATATATAATATATAATTGCATATTATTTTATCAGTAATTCTATAGTGTATAATAGCATTTCTCAAATGAGAGTTCAATAATAAATACAAGCAATATTGTTCAATAATGTTGATAACGTTATTTTAATTTATTTTTTATACTTTAAATTTTAATCTATATTTAAGTTAAGAATAAATACAAACCAAAGTTTATATTTTAATTTTTAAATCCAATTTTAAGTTTTTTTTATTATTGAGTAAAAAAATAAATAATAATAATTTACTTTCTTATTCAATAAATTGGGAGAAGAATTAAAAAGCGTGTACTTGGTTAATGGATTTTTAATGCTTGGTTTTAGATACATAGAGCCCAATTAATAGTAATGTGCTAAGTTTTGTACGTAAGACCATCAAATGCATGTAAGCCTAATTAATAATCATTTGTTAAAGGGAAATTTTTGTGTTAGTATGGGGTGCAATTTCTTCTTAACTTTTTGCATGAAAGCCCAACAATGGCCCAGTAATTTCAGCAGCAACTAAATTTAGATGTCCCACATGGGAACTCAAGAAACAAGATCCTGTTATATAACTGACCGTTATATAACAACAATGATCCTGTTATATAACAAGATCCTGTTAAGCAAAGTTACGAGAACTGCTGTCCTCTTGAACCGTCAGCGGTTTGCTAGGTTTTTAACAAGTTTAAACAGTTTTATGCGGGTTTTGGCCTCCAGCGGTTTATACCTCAAACCTATGTTGACCGGTTCCCGGTCGAACCACAACTCCAGCGGTTTATTCCTCAAACCTATGTTGCTCCAACGGTTTATACCTCAAACCTATGTTGACCGGTTCCCGGTCGAACCGATTTGGTTTTCAGAACATTGCTATCCACATAAATCAAATCACATGTGCCAATGTTTTTCGGAAAAAAAAAATACTGCTGCTTTAATTAGACTTAGAAAAAATCTCCATGTCCTTCATTAGTATGTGACTGATGATAATCATGCTTCACGAAAGTATTTTCCCAATTTTGATCAAATTGAGTACTGACAAAACCAAATTCCGTACAAAAATAAAAGAATAAAAAATATAAAATGTTGGGCTTCCGGAAAACCATCCGCACAGACCTCGGCGGGCCACACGAAACCCTTCGACTCTGACCACAAATTCGACAACCGCAAGAGAAAAACCGCCATTGCGAAGCCTTCGTGTAGAACTTCCTCCGAGCTGACACTCCTCATATCGGACGACAATGACTATTTCGAGCGTGGGCGCATGTACCAGAGAAACAAGGTGGAGAGCGTGTCCATGCAGGAGTTGGAGGGATACGCCGTGAACCAGTCTCGGGAGACCACGAAATCGATCGACAACTGCCTGAAGATAGCTGCCGAAAATAGGGAGGATGGGGCCTGGACGCTCGACACCTTGCACCAGCAAGGGGAGCAGATTCACCGAACCCACGTCATGGCTGCCGATATGGACCGCAATTTGAGCAAGGTACAAAATATTGATGATTCTTGATAATTTTTCCTATATATTCTTTATCTAGAATAAAACATAGAGATTTTGCAATTTCTACAACCTTTTTTTTTTTTTTTATTTTTTTCTGATATTACTTTGTCTAAACTGCTTATAAGTAGTATGCATGACTGATAAAAGTTGTCATCATACAGGCAAAACAAGGCCCTTGATCATCTTGAAGATGATGTAGACGAACTGAACTCTCGTGTCAAAGGGGCCAACCAACGTGCACGTCGGTTGGTTGGCAAATGAAATGGCTGTACCGAAAGCTACAAGTAATTTGCAACAGAATTGTTGATTTTGTACCTTTGTTACACAAACTTCTTTGTTATTCTTGAGCACATAATATCTATAAACTAGAGAAGCGTTTCATCCTAGAATCAATCTGTAATATTTTGTTTTCTTGATTTTAATACAACCACAAAATAGTCGAGCAAACTTGTTGTAATTGTATGCTTCGTGTGTTTACCTGTCGGTAGAGGAATTTTTCAAACTTGAGATATTGCTTAGTTCCTTTCTCACCGCTCAAATCAGGTGAACTTCTCAATTTACAGCAGTTTTTGTGTTCATCACATTTAGCCCTATGTTTTTAGTAAAAATAGAGACTTATCAGTTTTTCATCGAAATCGAGCTTCCAAGAAATGAAGACAGACTTAGCTTCCAACAAGTGAAGGTTATATTGATGAATCAAATACCCTATTTCACCAGCCCAGTTTACTCACCCAACTCACAAAACAGAGAGCACAGAATAAGCATCAGGGAATAAACAAGTTAGAAGATGACAGAGAAAATAGCGAAATTCGACTAACATAGGAAACCGACGAAATCCATATATCAGAACTCGAGCAACAACTCTATTTAGAACATCACATGAACTTAGTACACATGAATGGTAAACAGGGTGAAAATCAACATTTCAGCAAGTATCCCAAGTTTGATCACAATACACGTGTAACTACAGCACCGAGAACGGGCTTTAATGAACCTAAACACAATCCAATCAACAAACCATTGGCCCTTTTTCCAATTTTGCACTCTGTTTAATCCCGTAACCCAAATATCATCACCGCGGACCGTAATGTATATTGTTGTATCAGAGGCCTTCAGCATACCAGATGAAAGGCAGTTCACTTTGAAAACACAATGCTGTATGCCCTAGAAAAAAAAGGATTTAATTTACAACATAAGAATGCTTACATTCTCAAGAATTCACGCCTCCTCACTCTTCACAGCCATCCACCTCGTCCCGAAACCACCTTCCCTCACTGCACGCGAGACGAAGCCCAAAACATAACCGACAAAAGCCCCCAGAACCAAGATGCTGCCAACCATAACATACCACGACGCACGCGGGCCCCACTCACCTTGTGCAACAGAAACACCATTACCAGCAGCCCGCCCGTTAAGAACTCGGCCTGAAGCCAATATCTCCACAACATCATGAACCTCTCCATCATGGTTGCCGACATATGACACTGTGAGTTTTTCCCTATCGGCAAACAGCCTCACATACCCGAACTCGCCCCCACGATACATGGAACGCACGGGCTGCGGGAAAATCGGGTCGTTCGGGTGGTCGGTCCTCGGCTGCCAGATGGGCTGCCAGTCTTGGCCCGCCATCCCAATCACCATGTGCACCGGGCCCGAGGTCCCGCACGTGAAGTTGCTGAGTGGGCAGAAACGCTCGTACCTGTGCACGTGGCCCCACAGTGCAAGAGTCACGTTATTTTTCACGAGAAGAGGCTCGAGATTCTCCAGCAGTCTCTCCCTAAAGGGCTTATCCCTCGTCTCATGGCTAGTCGTGTACATGGGTCTGTGACCCTGGACAACCACATAAGGAGTTCTACCCCGATCGACTGACCCCAAGTCGTTTTTCAAGAATT